TCTATTAGTACATAATGTATTCATATCAGTTCCTTCCCTCATCAGCTTTCTACTGATGTTTGCACCTGCTCTTTCTTGTGCCCTGCTCCTTTTTCTCCTAATAAGCTCCTAGTCCTCTTCCCTGAAGCACCATTCAACACCCCCACCCCCCGCACTTCATTAAAACCGTAAAACTAAGTTGTTATTATCCTAATGTCCTGCCATCCCCTCCATATGCCACATAGTGATTTGCTCCCAAAGCCTATTAGGAGCAAAGAACCCATTCCTTCATAGTTCACACAATGCAAAACACAACCATTTCAGAGCAACAGAAACAGTGTGCAAGCTGTCACAACCTACAGTGTCTTCACCAAGCACTGCGGTCCTCGAGCTTTTCAAAGCCACCCTTCCTCTTTTTTAAAAAGTTTCGTTTCCCCTTCTCATCTTCCCAGTTTCTACCCAACAAAAGCACTATTCAGTCTCTAACTTATTTCAAGCCTCCATAGCTCAAACATGAGGGTGTGGTTGTTTTTTTTTTTGAGCACGAAACAGTTTGTACTACCTAATCTCTTCTACCAACATTTAGATTTTAATTTGCAGTAAAACTGAACTCCAAACTCTACCTATGTTGGCTCAAAGGATATACTACACTCATCTTGGAGCTGAAGAGGATGTACAACTTTTGGGTGGGATAGTCAGAGACCAGCACATCCAAACACTAGGGCAGGGGAACAGTTTTTTCTGCAGCTCCTACTTCTTATCCCTCAGTTGCAGGATGTATTCTGGCACTCCTCAGAGAGAAAGTCACTGCTCTAGTAGAGGAAGGAAAAAAATGAGCAAGACAACAATCTGATTCTCAAAGCCGTTACATCACCCAAATAGTGAATATAGTTTATTTTTAAAACAGCTGGAATCCCATATTTGACAAAGTTGCAGACAGATGGAGCTTTCAGAACCAGGTTGACACTGAAGGAAATTTAAAACATTTTTGCTGGCAGAGCTACAGTAGTGAGGTGCCAAAGTCCCTGCCAGACAAAGCCATCATTCAAAGACCCCTGGTAGAGCTGGTGACACCTGCGAAACCTGTGCTTTTCTTGGTAGACATGTTTCACGAGGATTTGGAGGAAGCAAAGAAGCTTTGGCAGCAGAGATGTCAGTTTTCCAGCCTGAAAGCATCCTGCATTGAGAGCATCTGGTGGGTCTATGGACCCAGCACTGTCATAAGAGCAAAAGCTTGCAGGCATACCTTAGACCTGTCAACAGGCACAAAACCCAAAAGGGAACTTGTAATTTACTTCTCTCAATTATACTCAATCCAGTATAAACAAGTGCACTTGCAACAAAACATATTCTTTGGACTATCACAGGGCACAGCTCTTTGGTTGTCAGACTGCTTGAAATTCCCCCTAAGGTTTTTTTTTTCCCTCCACATGGTGACAAGTGATGTGGGAGGCTAAAAAAAAGATGCTAGTATAGTACCAGGAGATGGGTACCGTTCCAGCAGAGAGTAGAAACAGCCTTTTCTTCAGCTCAGGCCCCAGCCCCAGCCCCAATCCTTAGCAGATGCTTCTCCCACCTCTACCGCAGTGCTGAGGGCTCAGCTGTGCTCATGCTACGTGCAGCAGAACATCCGTTTCCCACAGGATTGTCAAGAGGAGTTAAAGCTTGTAGGAAGGTGCCTTCTCTCTATCTGAAGTGATACCTCAGGAGGTGAAGGAAACACCAACAGAAACAGAGCACTTCACTTTCCTCCAGGGGAACAGAAGAGATCGTATCCTTAAATATCTACCATGTCAGCCCAAATTAAAGTCAGAATGCTGGTTTCCAAAAACTTAGCAGGAGAAAAACTTCCTCCCCTGTCTTGGCAGGAGAACTGATGATGAAGCACCCTTGTTGCAAAAAAGTGAGTGTACGTATATATGTACGTGTGTACACACACACATACCTTCCGCTGCCCAGAATGAAGTCCCTTCTGGTGTATGTCCTTTGGACTGTTCCTGTGCTAGCAGGGCAAAGAAGCCTGAACCATCACTAACTCTGCTGACAGTGGATTTCTAGCTGAGAAGGATGTCTGTTCTCCTAAGCCAGAGAGCCCTTTGAGGCATGCTCAGTTCAGGTTGTTAAAAAGAAAAAAGTGACCCATTTCTGACCAAATGCAAAAAATGTCATCTGAAGGTACGGGGCAGAAAATGAGGCCAAAGTTGGACATTGTAAAGTAAAAAAAAATAGTCAATATGAAATTAATAACATTGTAACTGTCTGTTATACAGTTTTATTTGAATAATCCTCTATATTAATGTCAAAGCAGTTTCTCTGGGAGTGAATATATGTATTTTCATCGACAAACAGTAGACTTTTGTGCTTTCAAATTGTTTCCTGCTCTATGACTCTAGGAAATATGGCATTTATGAAAAGGAACAGCAAAAAGAATCACAGAAACTGTGCACCGTGAGGAGGGGGATATCTACCTTTCCAGGTTAGCTGCTCAGTTATTTTCATTTACTTACTCAAAATTTTTGACTTTAGCAGTTGGCTAATTTCTCTTGTCAAAGAGTGGAGGAAAAAAAACCCCACAAAATAAAGACACATATAGGGTGAGAGAAAAAAACAAGGTGGCATCAAATGGCAATGTATGATGACCTGCTATGAGGAACAAAAATAATTTTCTGAGAGGACTATTAAATTATTTAGCAGTCTTGATGCAGAATTTCAGACAAATAGAAAAATGCATAGCAGGCCAGAAAATGCTTTTTTACCCCCACATTGGACCTGGTAAACTGTATTAAATCCTACTTTTTGCAGAAACCTGATACACCATCATTCAATTGTCTTGACAGAAGAGACCAACAAGTTCTACTTCACAGCTAGACACGAAAGAGGACAGCACCAAAGAGGAGGGGCCTGTGCTTCTCTTTTTCCTGCAAAGAATTTCCAGCTCACCAGAGATGGACAGCAAAAGGGCAGAAAGACAGAGGTGCCAAGAAGGCATTGTCTCAGCCTCAAAGTTACAGAGAACTTCATGACAAGACCAGGTTGGACAAACTGAACTGTTCTACCTGTCCAGGCTCTGGGCAGAGTCTGCAAAAGCACAGAATCATAGGATCACAGAATGGTTTGGGTTGGAAGTAACCTTAAAGATCATCTAGTTCCAAATCCCCTGTCATGGGCAGGGACACCTTCCACTACACTAGGTTGCTCAAAGTCTCATCCAACCTGGCCTTGAATGCTTCCAGGGATGGGGCATCTACAACTTCTCTGGGCAACCTGTTCCAGTGCCTGACCACCCCCAGAGTGAAGAATTTCTACCTTGTATCTAATCTAAACCTACTCTCTTTCAGTTTAAAGCCATTTCCCCTTGTTCTATCACTACACACCCTTGTAAAAAGTCCCCCTCCAGCTTTCTTATAGGCCCCGTTTAAGTATTGGAAGGCTGCTAGAAGGTCTCCCCAGAGCCTTTTCTTCTCCAGGCTGAACAACCCCAACTCTCTCATCCTGTCTTCATAGCAGAGGTGCTCCAGCCCTTGGATCATCTTCGTGGCCCTCCTCTGGACCTGCTCCATGTCTTTCTTGTGTTGGGGACTCCAGAGCTGAATGCAGTATTCCAGGTGGGGTCTCATGAGAGCGGAGTAGAGGGGCAGAATCACCTCCCTCGACCTGCTGGCCACGCTGCTTTTGATGCAGCCCAGGATATGGGGCTTTCTGGGCTGCAAATGCACATTGCATGGATCCCAGCAGAGCAAGAGACAAACCGCATGTAAGAGAGAGAAAGCAGCACATCGCTCCATTCACAATGGGCTTTCCATAAACACTGTTAGATTCCAAAGAGAATAATTTATAGGAAATGCATAGAAATTTTCTACAGAACGAGTCTTACAAATACCCATGTCACAAATGAGTATTAGTGAAAACAAAAAAAAAAGAAAGCCAACGAAACATTAAACACATTCTTGGGTATATGTTTTCCTGCACTTGGCAGAGGGAAGCTTTTAAGAATAATCTTTGATTGTTAATAACCTGTAAAAATTCATGGAGAAAAAACTTGATTTCATCAGGTACTGTTAGGGCTAGGAGGGAGTGTTTGCAGTGATGCATTCAAGTTGCATTTCATAATTTTTGACGCTGGCTGAGCTGATGTTAGGAAAAGTCCACGGTTCTGATAGAAAGAGGTGACAAAGACTTGAGTCAGCTTATCCAGGCACGAACCAGTTTGTAACAGTTCCTTCATTAAACAAATAATCCTTGGAAATTAAGAATCAGGTAGGAATTTGCAGGATTTCCCTTCTGTAAACAGATGGAGGAAATCAGAAGGATTTTTTCCATCCTTCTGAGAGGAGAACCAAATGACTCTCCAAATAAGTTTTAAATGCACTTATTTCAAATAGCTGGAAATGACCACAGCCCAGCTTGTGAGACAGAAGTTGTCTTTCTCTGTAAAGCTCAAAAAAGCAGGTTCTCCATTATAAACTTCTTTGAGGGAAGAAGAAGTAGGGGGAGAAAAAAACTTTGGTTCATAACATTGTTTTGCACAGACATTCAAGTAGATGTTCAAAAGCTGCCGGCTGTCCAGGCTAGTAACAAAATACCCATGCTCTCTACTCAGTAGTGGATGTTCCTCTTTGGTATCCGATTTTGTAAGGAAGGCAGACGTCTTGTGGAGGTGAAGGAGTCATACAGATGCATCTTTGAAAAGGAAGACAGTGTCACTTGTGATGCCACAAACAAATTCATCTACTTGATTAAGGAACATGCAGGAAACCTTCTTTTAGTAGGGGTTGGGGGAGGTAGAAGAGAAAGCACTGATACATTCACTACTTGCTAGAAGCAAGTTATTTTGCTCTAGTAGTCGGTTGTTAACAGTTGTCAGTAGCTGTGATACGTCTGTGCTGTCAGAAAATAGGGAATTATTGCTTTGTGAGTAATTTTGAGTAACAAGGAACAGGAGGTTAATAAATCCTCCCAGGTAGACACTGCCCTGTGGCAGAAAATATAAATATTCATTTTGGGAAACGTTCTGGCAGTTACTAAGCATGATACTTACTTGTGGACTGCGTGATGCATGAAACCTTGTAGGATGACCATATGCTTAAAACACAAAGGATTGTAGCTAGGAACCCGAAAGTCTGGATGAGAAAACAAATAAACCACAAAAACTTACAGAATATTAGGTGACACATATTCCATGAACATATGGACGCTTTTGTATATCCAGCTACATATTTTATGACATTAACAGAACCAAAAAGTGAGTTTTTACTCCATTCTGCCAATAGACAAAAAAAAAAAAGTTTCCATAGTATAATAGCAGCTTATGTCTTGTCAAAACAGTGGCTGAAAGATAAGACTGAGAGTCATATGCAAGGAGGGAGAAAAAGCTGAAGAGCAGCATAGAGTCTCATCTTCTAGACTGTTCACTAGGATTCTGCAACAAAGAGAAGACTTTTTCTAACGCCTCTGATTACTGCTCTTTTACTGCCTGATTCGAACAAGTCTTTCCCTGCCATCTGCCAAATAAACACGTCAGGTAGGTCTTCTAGTCTGTTTGCATCATCAGGACTAAGTTTCTGAAAGCGATTCTTTATTTTGGAGGAGTTGTATTTCAGGTCCTGCTGCTGTGAAAACACTGTTGCCCACATTCAGAAATCATGCCTCTCTCTATAAAGCCCTCCAGCCAACAGAGGCAGAGAGTATCTTCCAGTGAGTCAGCCCAGGAACCCAGCGGGGTTTAGCTCAGGAGAAATTCTCTTCAACAGGCCTCTGTTCAGGGGCAGGAGGCGTCAAAAGTCAAAGACTGAGGTGAAATCCTTTAGGTAACTTCGAGCTGCTACAACAGCCATTTGTCGAAACCGAATTGTCTTAATTCTTCCCCTAAACGTGTTACTTCCTATGAGTTAAAGCAGGAGCCTTGGGTTTCAACTCTCTGACAGGACAAATACCCACTGCAGTGGTGAGTCTGGAGTCTCACGACAAAATATTTTTGTTGGCATTGTGTTACAGCACATTCACTGACATGAGCTAGAAGGTAGTTCACCCAACCAAGACAAGTCAGAAAGGAAAGAAAATAAAATTACAACTAACTGATTTCCAATGCCCTACTTTATATATATTGCAATTTAAAAAGTGTCAAGACTAATAAACATAGTCTTACCGCTCCAGCCACAAGTCCCGTCAAATTGTAACTCTTGGATGCTGCTACAATCGATGCAATGAGAAGCAGAATTGTACCGATTAAATAATGAAGAAACTCCTGTAAAGACAAGCACAGCCTGCATCAGAAGGGAAACTTATCAGGAAAGCATTTCGATGTGCCTCAGAACAAAAACAAGTTGGCAGAGGCTACTCAAATCCAGAGGACAAAACACCAGTGAAAAGAAAAAGAAAAAAAAGCTTAAAAAAACGGAAAAAAAAAGATAAAAACCCACCTAGTGAGTGGGTTTTGTACCATACCTGACCTTCTGTTCAAAAAGGGAGAGAGGGCAAATCTCCAGGTCTACTAGTGTCACTGGAAGAAGACCTACTTACTGGCTACAGACACAACCCTTTCAATTACTGGGACATTACTGAGGGTGAAACATATATCTTTCCTGCATCAAGTATGCACCTTACTTCAAGAGACAGTTCTGGAGGAAGGAGGAAGCCTTAAGGGCATATTTCTCTAGCCTATATGAAATGGAAGTAAATGGCATAAATGGAAAACCAAATGTTCCTACTTCTGATAATCTTAGAAAGTAAGCAGTGGATCTACTGCTGGATTTACTAACAACTTACATCAACCAAGACACAGGCAGTGGAAGCAGGGACAAGTACCCTGGGAAGAGTACAGGGATGCTACCCAGTTGTGTGGGGATCAGATCAGGAAGGCCAAGGCACAGATGGAGCTGAACTTGTCAAGGGATGCAAAGAATAATAAGAAGGGCTTCTACAGCTATGTCAGCCAGAAAAGGAAGGTCAAAGAAAGTGCACCCCTTCTGATGAGCAAGACTGGCAAATTTAACAATGGCAAGGAGAAGGCTGAGGTACTCAACAACTTTTTTGCCTCAGTATTCACTGACAAGCTCTCTTCCCACACCTCTCAAGGCAGGGACTGCGGGAGCAAAGTCCCTGCCACTGTAAGAGAAGATCAGGTTGTGGACCACCTGAGGAACCTGAACATACACAAGTCTATGGGACCTGACGAGATGCATCCCAGAGTCCTGAGGGAATTGGCTGATGTAGTTGCCAAGCCACTCTCCATAACATTGAAAAGTCATGGCAGTCAGGTGAAGCCCCTGGTGACTGGAAAAAGGGAAACATTGCACTCATTTTTAAAAGGGTAGAAAGGAGGATCCTGGGAACTACTGACTTGTTAGCCTCACCTCTGCGCCTGGGAAGATCATGGAACAGATCCTCCTAGAAGCTATGCTAAGGCACACAGAGGACAGGGAGGTGATTCAAGACAGCCAACATGGCTTCACCAAGGGCAAATCCTGCCTGACCAACCAAGTGGCCTTCTATGATGGAGTGACTACATCAGTGGGCAAGGGAAGAGATACGGATGTCATCTATCTGGACTTCTGTAAGGCCTTTGACACACAGTTCCCCACAACATCCTTCTCTATAAATTGGAGAGATGTGGATTTGACATGTAGACTGTTCAGAGGAAGATGAATTGGTTGGATGGTCACATCCAGAGGGTAGTGATCAACAGCTCCATGTCCAGATGGAGATCAGTGACAAGTGGTGTCCCTCAGGGATCTGTACTCAGAGCAGTACTGTTTAACATCTTCATCAATGAAGTAGACATTGGCATTGAGTACATCCTCTGCAAGTTTGCAGATGACACTAAACTGAGTGCTGCTGTTGATGGGCCTGAGGGATAGGATGTCATCCAGAGGGACCTAGACAAGTTCGAGAAGTGGGCCTGTGTGAACCTCATGAGGTTCAACAAGGCCAAGTGCAAGGTCCTGCACCTGGGTCAGAGCAACCCCTGGTATCAATATAAGCCGGGGGATGAAGGGATTGAGAACAGCCCTGAGGAGAAGGACTTGGGGGTACGGGTGGATGAAAAGCTGGGCATGAGCCCACAATGTGCACTCGCAGCCCAGAAAGCCAACTGTCCCCTGGGCTGCATCCAAAGCAGTGTGGCCAGCAGGTCAAGGGAGGTGATTCTGCCCCTCTACTCTGCTCGTGTGAGACCCCACCTGGAATATTGCGTTCAGCTCTGGAGTCCCCAACACAAGAAGGACATGGAACTGTTGGTGCAAGTCCAGAGCAGGACCACAAAAATGATCTGAGGGCTGGAGCACCTCTGCTATGAAGACAGGCTGAGAGAGATGGGGCTGTTCAGCCTGGAGAAGAGAAGGCTCTGGGGAGACCTTATTGTGGCCTTTCAGTACTTAAAGGGGGCCTGTAAGAAAGATGGGGACAAACTTTTGCTTGATAAGGGGCCTGTTGTGATAGGACAAGGGGTAATGGTTTTAAACTAAAATAAGGTAGATTTAGACTAGATACAAGAAATTTCTTACAATGAGGGTCATGAGGCACTGGAACAAGTTTCCCAGAGAGATGGTAGATGTCCCATTTCTGTAAACATTGACGGTCAGGTTGGGCATAGCTCTGAGCAACCTGATCTATTTGAAGATGTCCCTGCTCATTGCAGGAGGTGTTGGACGAGATGACCTTTAAAGGTCTCTTTCAACTCCAACTGCTCTATGATTCTAAGACTGGAAACAGGAGGGAAGTCACAAAGAGCAAAACTACGCAGACACTCATAAGCAAGGACCAGGCTCCTACATCTGCAAGGGGGGCTGCAGCTGTCCTGTGGTAAAACATGACATCACGTGTTTTTCTGAGAGATCACTGAGGCACCACATTTAAGTTCTTTTCTAGTGTGACAAGTATCAGTCCAGGAGTTGATTTTATCTTGCACAAGCAGGGGTTATCTGTGGATTTAGATTTCGAATCTTCCCAAAGGTTAGCGCAATCAACACGGGTGTTTGCAAGCTGAACATGGGTTGTTTCTTTTGCATGGTGGGGTGGGCAGGAGGGTATCTGCTTACTTTATTTGCATTGCACTACCAGCATGAGCCAAGCAAATGTCTTCCAAAAGGGAGAGGAGGTATTCCATCTCAAACCAAAGGAGAGAGAATATAGTCCCCAAAAGGAAATTGTTCCAGGAAATCCCAGAGGAAAAATAGCCTGTCATACCACACCACGGTTTCCTTCTGCTCAGGTGTTTATAAACAACGGCTGAGGAGGATCGTTACCATAAAGTAGGCTCAGAGACTACGACTTACTTTCCTCATTTGTAACCTTGTTCCAGGTAATCAAGCTCTCCACCCTTGCTTTTGCTACAATAAATTATTTTCATAAGGAGGCTTCTCTGGCTAGTCCATGATGCAGCAGGTGAATTATGCATGCCATTGCCTCCTTAGAGACACCAAATCAAGCAGCATACACAGGCCACTACTTTAGAGGAATGTGAGGGATGGGCAAAGGTGCAAAAGAATCATCAAAGGCAAAATTAGGTGGAGAACCAAGCCCCAGCAGGGCTGGGAGAGTGCCCCTCTGGGGAAATACTTCCCAGCTTTAAAAGTAGTGCTGAACAGCCTCTTGAACCACTGCAACTTTACTAACTGCAAATCACACCCCTGATTGCAATGCAGAGATCCTGCCAGGAAACTCAGCCAGACACTAGCTGTGGTTTCTCAAAGTCCCTTACAGACCTTCCTGTTCTGTTCTAAAGATACTTAAATATGTGACTGAAAAGAAGGTTGGTTGTAAAAGAGCAGCAATGTTCAAGCATTACATCCCATAAAGATACCTGAAGCTGAACAGCCACAAACTGTAGTGCCTTAAACTCACTAGTGACTCTGGAACATTTAGGAATGATTAAGCACACACAATAAAAACCCAAAGCAGCCCATGCAGAGATCAAAATGGCATAGTCCTGTTACAGCAATGCACACATTAGATGCTGCTTTGCAAAACTGTCATTTACTAGCTTATTTCAATCCCTGCATCTGTATTATCTCTAGATAAATAATTACTTTTTAGAGACCGGTAGTGGTGGTACACGTTTAAAAAAATAAAAAGAGGTGCAAGCCTAACCGTATTCTTCACTTAAAAAGAAAATTAAATTTTTCTCTCTAGTGAGAAGTGCATGTATGGACAAATGGTTATTTTCGATCTGTAAACTACTTACATAGCTTCCATTAAAAACCATCCGACCACTTCTTGGATTTCAAAATCCCTCTTCATCTCTCCAGTTGGTTTTCCCCACCCCTTTGGTCCTTCCTCCATGGAACTAACATGTCACTATGTGTAAGTGAGACACATTCTAAGCAGTTATTAAAATCCATCATCCTGCACTAGGACGCGGACTCTTCTGCTAGCTGACCTGACCCAAAGCTACTAAGGAAGTTCAGGTCCCGCATTTTCTGTGCCACTTGTTAGTTCTCTGATAGGATATGAGAGATGGATGTGAAGGGGAAATGTGGGAATGAGGCAGGAACATCCTGCAGGATATCCCAGGAAAGGCCAGGCTATGGCAATCAGGTTGAGGCTCCTATTTCTTGCTATTGTTTAAGTTACCTAAAACCATACTAAAAAGAGACACGTTTGACTTCAATAGTACTCACAGATGTTATTTTGGGACAGGATGTAGTACATGATTCCTAATGCTATGATTTGGTACTCTAGCAATCCCTTAGTTGCTATGAATGACCTGAGCTAGGACCCATCTGCTGAAGGGTTGATAATCAGTAGCTTCTTTTGAATTGTTTCAGAACGACTCTATTGCCTTCCCTGGAGTAAATCTGGATCTTTATCTGTGTAAAGGAGGGCAGGATCAGATCTGAATCATCTAAAAAACTTACAAATAACAGCATCTGCTGAACTGAATACTAATAACAAAAGCAACAAAAGGATTTGTATGCAAGGCAAAAAAAGAATTATGTGAAAGACAGCCTATCATTGCGTGATAGCACAAGAAAATGGACTAAGTAATCGAGACATCATCCCACAAGAGAGGCACCACGACAGCAAGGAACCCAGACTTACCGCAAGCGGCCAGCTAACACAAGTGAGCTTCCTGTAGATTCTGAAAATGTGGATAATGTAGAAGAACAAAATCATAACCAAGTCGCACATGGTGACAATCTGAAAGTAGCTGTATGCACTGTAACTTGTCCACGGAGAACTATTTACACTGATGAATCCAATCAGCAGTGAGATCTGAAAGACAAAAGGAACATTAAAGATTTTTACAATGGTGTTCAGAGGGCTGTGGAGATGATTTTAAACACAACAAAATGGCACTTACAAACAGAAGACAAATATCTGATGTAAATTGGATGGTCTCAACAAAATGGAGAGCAAAGTAACGAGCATGGTAAAAACGTTTTAAAATTTGCTCTTAAATGAGCTAAAAAAACCAATGAAGAGTGGGAAAAGAGCCAACTGCTAGAAGGAAAGCAGCAGTTTCAGCATGAAGAATTCAACTTAAAGAAGTGCTTATGGACAATACAAGAGGTCTCAAATAGAGAAGAGACACTGAACGCCTGGAGTTGCACCAGCAACTGAAGCAACTAAACTCCACCGACTTTCAGAAGGAAATTACGGAAAGCTGTAAAAATAAAGGTGCCCATGAACACGTGTGCCTTTACTTCCATTTAGCGAGAGTTCTCACACGCAAAATCGGAGGACTTGGCTGCAACTGAACTAACAGTTTTACTCTTCCTTTTCTGCCACCTACAGAGCAGGAGTATTAGCAGACTATATGGTGGTATCACAGCAAATAATATAAACATTTGGAGGAACTGATTAATTCACCTCACTCTCAATACAATAGTTATAAAGCTTTAATATGTTAACATTGTCACATAAAACTATGAAGCACTATTGTACAACTTGTTTTAGTTGTAAGCTTGCAAAGGACAAAAGCTATTGTATTTTTTTAATTTAAAGCTACGTGTTTATTTTACTAATCTTGCTGCTTCTACCAGTCTGACTAGCCTGGGTGAGAAAAATAAATCTACCCAGGATATACTCGAATATTTTCTTATTACAGACTTTGCCAATGCATGCTTTCAGACACTGTGATTTTTGGTTCATCCAAAGTCAGCCAGGAGCAGTAGTGATTCACATTTTAAGTGTCTCTCCAAAACACTAAAACTATCACAGGAAGCCACCACTTCAGGACTGCAACATCCTTTCCTGCACACTCATCTTCCAAACTCCTAACCAACTGCATCCATTATCCGAATAATTTCCTTAAGGTTAAAAGGAAAAAAAAACCAAACAAACAACACCCAAACAACATAGCTTAGATTCTTCCTGCTCTAGTGTTAACTGAGTTTCACCTGCTCAGTTCTAGGCAGACAGGCTAAACACATACATCCTCAAGTGAATCAAAGCTCTATACACACATAAGAACTTCACAAGAAGTTCACAAGAACTTGCACCTTAGCCAAACTTCATCCAAATAGCCAGATCAATGTTATGGCAGTGAACCACCTCAGAAAGGTGGCCCCAAAGAGACTGCATTCTTGAAGTATCATCATCCAGACAATAAGACACTGGTAAAAAAAAACTTAGTTTAAACCAGAACTAGTTCTTTCAACTTCATGGGAGCATAATTATTTTTTTTTTCAGTTAGGAGGCATAAAAATTTGAGAAGCATAAATAAGAATATGAGCCATGCAAGGACAAAGTGAGGAAATTCATCTGAGGTGTTATATTTCTCAGAAATAAGAAGACAGAAGGTACCAACCAGTCAGTGAAGAATCTGCTCAGCTCCTAAGAACAGGGTAGAAATATGAAACTGAACAAACATGCTTTTCATTTCAAATGTACTTTACCATTAAAACAATTCCAAAAACAATTAGTAAAGATTCTCCCTTCTTTGATTTTAGATGTGCCTCGGCATATGGGTAGGAAGAAATCACTGTGTGACAAGAGGTATTTCTTTCAAAGATTTCCTTTCTTAGCATGAATTTCACAACATGAGATTTACATGCAGCTTCTAAAGAGGGTTCTCTAATTGGAGGGACATCATGCTATTTCACAGGACAGGTGCAAAGGGGACGATATCAACAGCTTTATATAGAGCCATACCATGTTTGCCACACGGTATTGTCTGCATGGATAGCAGGTACAGTCAGAGTTTAAAACTCACCTGTTGAAAAAGAACGCTAACAAATGTAGGAAATAGAGCCACGTAATACTATTTTTCCTTTAAAAGTGACAAATACCAAAGTTCCTTCAGGAGATAGCAAGTTTATCATGATATACCAGGTGATGACTGCATCTTTTTCCCCCCTCTGTAATTCCTGTTTCCAGAGAACTTGAAAATGAGCGATAAAATGATTAATAAGTAACAGTCCAGGATACAGTTCAACATATATCTTAGAAGTCTCTCTGTGGCACAGAGAGAGAGAGAAATGAACAGCAAAGCAATAAAATGATCAAATGTTATAAGTGTTCTTTATGCATCTCTGCGCAGGGCAGTAGGTTAATACATCTTGAAGAGAAAAAGTAGAGGCACAAAAAAATTAAAGCACTTCCATTTCAATATAGGATTTCACAGATTGTGAGAGCAGCAGACATGTAACCCATAGCCAGCAAGCCAGTCAGACCAGAAGAATGGGTCAAATGATGGTCAGTCTCATTAGAAGATTTCAATATGCTCCACAAAACATATCCAGGCTTCAGACCTGCATTACAAAAAGGGTGGGGGACACATGGCAGGACACTACAATTTAAGTGCTTTCTGGTTTCTGAAAAGCAAAACAAAGAACATATGCATCAATCAACTCCAAGGAGGGATTTTTTGATTTAAATGAAGTTCCATATTTACTCTGTTTCACAGAAGTTGATCAGCTTAAACTAATCCACTTCTTGACTTTCCATAGGACCAGATATTTGCAGTGAGTCATGAAGCATGTTTAGGAACCCTGGTATGTATCAGGAACTATCTGGCAGTGAAGTCAACAAGAACTAAAGGCAGCCAGTAATTGCCAGGAGGCACTCAACACCTTACTAGACAGAACAGACATCATAAAAAAAGATGGTAAGAGTCTGCATTCTCATCTCTATTTTGAGCTAGAGATGAGGCAACCACATCCTCTGCAATGTGCCCGCAGAAAATGTTGGTTCTTGAATAGCACTGACATAAGCTGCCACGCCTAAACTCCGTTCTGATTTGAAGCGAGCACAGCTCTATCAAAAATGAAACAATTTTCTCCTTCCTGATATGGTCTTCCTTCAAAAGCATATCCATGGCCCCTAAAAAAGGGTGAACAAGCACAGATCTTTCAAGGATGTTAATGGAAGATGGGACATGGGCTGGTGGGATCATGATCTGATCTTCACAGCAAAGAAGAGCCAAGGGTTACGCTGCTGTTGACTTCAAGTGATGAGGGCAAGGCTCAAGACCCTTTTTCCCCTGCACTATGACACCACTCGCTCAACGTGTCAGGCATGGGCCAGGCCAACCAGCCACACTCAGGGCTCGGGTGTGAGAGAAAGACTGCAGCAGCATGTATGTCCCAGCTGTGAAGGAAATGTAAAATGTGATTCAGTTATGTCTCTCATGCTCACAGCAAGGATCACTGAATCAGAGAATGGTTGAGGTTGGAAAGGGCCTCTGGAGGTCATCTTCCCCAAACCCCCTGCTCAAGCAGGGACACCTAGAACCTGTTGGCAAGGACCGAGTCCAGCTAGGTTTTGAATATCTCCAAGGATGGAGACTCCACGACCTCTCTGGGAAACCTGTACCAGTGTTTGATCATCTTCACAGTGAGAAAAGCATTTTCTGATGTTCAGATTGACTTTCATGTGCCCATCACCTCTTGTCCTGTCACTGGGCACTACCGAAAAGAAGCTGGCTCCTTGTTCTTCGCTCCCTCCCATAAGGTATTTATACATGTTGGTGAGCTTCCCTGAACCTTCCCTCCTCCAGGCTGAACAATCCCAGCTCTCTCAGTTTCTCCTCTTATGAAGGATGCTCCAGAACCTTCATAATCTTTGTGGACCTGTGCTTAACTCCAGTTAAGTTCATGGTGCTCTTGCACTGGGGACCCCAGAGCTGCACACAGCACTGCAGATGTGGCCTCACTTGTGTCAAGTAGAGGGGAAGGGTCCTGACCCATGGGCAACACTCTTCCTAAAACAGCCCAGGATGTCCTTGGCCTTCTTTGCCACAAGAGTGCCTTGCTGGCTCATGGCCAGCTTGTTGTCCACCAGGACCCCAAGGTCTTCTCTGCAGAACTGCTTTCCAGGCAATAGGCCCCCAACCTGCACTGATGCAGAGAGGTTTATAACCTAGATATCTCTGGATGTGGGACTCTGCATTTGCCTGTGCTGAACTTGATGAGATTCCTCTCCGCCCAGACTGTCAAGGTCCCTCTCAATGGCAGCACAACTCTCTGGCTCATCAGCCACTCCTCCCAGATTTTTTATCATCTACAAACTTGCTGAAAGTGCACTTTGCCCCATCACCCAGGTCATTAATGATGCTGAATAGCACTGGCCCCAGTATTGACCCCTGGGGTACGCCACTAGTGACTGGCCTCCAACTTAGCCTTGTACCACTGACCGCAATCCTCTGGGCCTGGCCATTTGGACAGTTTTTAACCCACCTCACTGCCCACTTAGCTAAGCCATACCCTGTCAGTTTGTCCATAAAGTTATTATAGGAGACCATAACCTTATTAAGGTCAAGGTAAACAACATCCGCTGCTCTCTCCTTGTCCACCAAGTTAGTCACTTCATTACAGAAGACAGTAAGGCTGGTGAAGCCTGACTTCCCCTTTGTAAATCCATGCTAACTACTTCTGATCACCTTCTTGTCCTTCATGTGTTTGGAGATGTTTTCCAGGATGATTTTCTTCGTCACTTTGGAAATGAGGTGAGGCTGACCAGCCTGTAGTTCCCTGGATCTTCCTTCCAGGCCATAGAGATGACATCAATCTGTTCAAGCTAGAGAGAATAGGGAAGGACTGGACAAGAGTGATAAATTCTTTCCCTGTGCTATAAAATACTACTTTAAGTGTTCCCTAGAAATGCTGTTCCTTTTTGAAAATCAGCTGTTTTCCTCCCTGCTTCTTCTTGTCCTTGTCAAAGCATCTGAAGCCCATTGGACACTGATTACACTTAGTAAAACAAGGAAAATGTGTACAAAGACTTCAAGGAAGTCAATCTTCCACTGCAGGAAAATTCAACACCTTCCTAAG